GGCTGGGGATTCGAACCCACCACCTTAGGTGTATGTGGCTGGAGCCCCAGCTGCTTGAGCCACAGGCGCTGAGCCTACAAAAACTTTAAAATTAGCCAGGCATCACGGTGTGTGCCTATAGTCCATCTACTTGGGAGGCTGAGGTGGGAGGATTGCTTGAGCCCAGGAGTTTGAGGCTGCAGTGAGCTAAGATCACAATTCTGAACTCCAGTCACACAACAGAAAAAAAACATTGATGTTTCTGAAATTCACATAACATGCAGTTAATCATTTTTTAAAATGTACAATCATGATATATTATGCATTCATAAGGCTATTCAATCACTTCTATTTTGAAAACATTTTCGTCACTCAGAAAAACACTTGTGGGTGTAATCACTCCTCATTCCTGCCTCCCCAGCAACCACTAATCTGCTTTCTCTCTCTATTGATTTGCATATTCTGGATATTTCATATAAATGGAATCATATAATACTGGACCTTTTACATTTGGCTTCTTTTTCTTTTCTTATTAGTTCGATTTTTTGTTTTTGAGTTTTTTTAATTTGTTTGTTTTGGGGACAGAGTCTACTATGTCACCCTTACCCTCAGTAGAATGCTGTGGCAGTACAGCTCACAGCAACCTCAAACTCTTGGGCTTAAGCAATTCTCTTGCTTCACCCTCCCAAGTAGCTAGGACCACAGGCCTCCGCCACAACATCCAGCTATTTTTTTTGTCGCAGTTGTCGTTGTTGCTTAGCTGGTCCAGGCTAGGTTCGAACTCACCACCCTCAGCGTATATGGCTGGCACCGTAACCACTGTGCTATGGGCACCAAGCCACAGTTTTTTGTTTTTGTTTCTTGTTGTTATTTTTAAGAGATAGGGTCTTGGCTCGGTGCTCATAGCACAGTGGTTATGTTTCCAAACACATACACCGAGGGTGGTGAGTTCAAACCCAGCCTGGGCCAGCTAAACGACGACAGTGGCAACAAAAAAGAATAGCCAGGCATTGTGGATGGCGCCTGTAGTCCCAGCTACTTGGGAGGCTGAGGCAAGAGAATCGCTTAAGCTCAAGAGTTTGAGGTTGCTGTGAGATATGACGCCACGGCACTCTACCAAGGGCGAGACAGTGAGACTCTGTCTCAAAAAAAAGAAAGAGAGAGAGAGAGATAAGGTCTTTCCCTGTTGCCCAGGGCAAAGAGGGTAGTTACTAATTACACCAGACACATACCATTGCTTCCAGGAGAAATGACCTACATATAAATAAACATAATGTAAAACAGAAAATCACAAGTGAGGGTCAGGCACACGTGGCAAATTCCCTGTCTCTGTAGAACTCATATTTATTATACGTTGCTATTAGCTGTAATTCTATTTTAATGCTCAACTTTTTTGTACTCTGGCATTTCTGAGGACACTTTTGATTTAGATCATAATTGTGTACATTAATTCTATCATAGGATACAGTGTGTTGCTTCCATATGCAGTTTGGAAAACTCTCATCCAACTGGCTAACATAGCCATCATGTCCTTCTCATAATTGTTGCTATGTTTTTAATGATCATTTCTTAAGAATATTTCATTCATTTACCCTGTTTGATTTTTTTTTTAATTTAAACTTCAAATGTTAAAAATGTAATGAACTTCAACAGATTGGAAAATTAACTAAATTAGATAATATTTGTTTACCAGAATTCATTTGAGAGCCATGTATCCGTTAGTGCATAAAAATCTTTTTAGTGTAAAAGGATTTGCTGTACATTTTCGCTGATTGTTGTTTCATATTATCTCTTATAATACAGGATTTTGTTAACATCTAAGGCTAGGAACTAGGATTCCCAAAATACTGATGTAAAACTCTGCAATAGAAACTTGTATGCCTCAGAGATTTATAGAACTCAAGGAGACCCTTTTTATAATGCATGTTCTTGAAGCAGTATGTCCCTAAAGGCACTAATGGCTGCTCGTCCCTCTCTCATTTTCTCATTTTAGGGAAACTAAAACCAACAATGGCATTCATGTCAGGAAGATTGAAGATTAAAGGAAACATGGCCCTAGCAATCAAATTGGAAAAGCTAATGAATCAGATGAATGCCAAACTGTGAAAGAAAAGAAAAAAAATATGTCGACTGCTATGTTCACAAAGTAAAAACCTCAAAGCTGAAATCTGTTGTTTGTTTTCTTCCCTGTTGTATAATAAGGATATGCATGTTTGTTCTGGAAAAAAATAGAAGTTCTCTATCTGTAAGATTTGAAATTGTAATTAAAACAGTTGGCTTATTCAACAAAAGCCTCATTAAGTGGAATTCTAAGACAGTATGTTTTTTAGATTTCGAGAGTTTTGCTCCTTGAGCCTTATATCTAATTTACTATCTTCTGTCAAGAAAAGTATCATCAGCAACTAGTCAGGCTCAAGCAATAAAATTTATTCCTTTCAAAGCGTCTGCTCATGTAAAATGAGTTTGGGATTATATATTAATGGTGTTTTTGATGTTTAAATACATATAAAGAAAATTTTCTGGTGACCCCTGTAGCTCAGTGGGTAGGGCACTGGCCACATACACCGGAGCTGGAGGTTCAAACCCAGCCCGGGCCAACAATGACAACTGCAACCAAAAAGAAAAAAATAGCCGGCAATGAATCCCCAACAATAAAAAAATTTTTCTTTTTGAGACAGAGTCTCACTATGTTCCCCTCAGTAGAGTGATGTGGCATCACAGCTCACAGCAATCTCAAACTGTTGGGTTCAAGCAATTCTCTTGCCTCAGCCTCCCAAGTAGCTGGGACTACAGGTGCCTGCCACAACACCCGGCTATTTTTTCTTGCAGTTGTCATTGTTTGTTAGGTGGCCCAGGCCAGGTTCAAACCTGCCACCTTTAGTGTAGGCTGGTGCCCTAACGACTGTGCTACAGGCACTGAACCAAAAAAAAATTTAAAAAAATAATAACTGAGCATTGTGGCAGTCACCTGGAGTCTCAGCTACTTGGGAGGCTGAGGCAAAAGAATCACTTAAACCCAAGAGTTTGAGGTTGCTGTGAGCTGTGACACCACAGCACTCTACCCAGGGTGACAGCTTGAGACTCTGTCTCAAAAAAAATTTTTTTTTTCTACAGTGTATTTCACAAAAACACATTATCTACTTAATAAACACTACTTTAGAGACTAAATGAAACAACAACCATTTGTTAACTAGCTTGCCAGGTGCTGTTATCTATAGGAAAATTTATTAATGTATTAATAATTCAACTAATGGAAGTATGTATCCTATTTAAAACTATGCAAAAAAATGTCCTAAAATAAAATCATTTTCTCCCCGAAAGTATGCATTTGGTCAACATTTTGAAATGAGAAACTTAGAATAAATGGTTGGGGGCCAGGCACGGTGGCTCACACCTGGAATCCCAGCACTCTGAGAGGGCAAGGCAGGTGGATTGCCTGAGCTCACAGGTTGGAGACCAGCCTCAGCAAGAATGAGACTCCATCTCTAAAAATAGCAGTGCGTTGTAGCAGGCACCTGTAGTTCTAGGTACTTGGGAGGCTGAGACAAGAGGATCACTTGATCCTAAGAGTTTGAGGTTGCTATGAGCTATGAAACTACGGCACTCAACCCAGGTGACTGAGACTCTGTCTCAAAAAAAAAGATGGTTGATATGGGCTGAATTGTATACCCCCTTCCAGATTTATTTGTGGAAATCCTAACCCCCATTACCTTTGAATGTGACTGTATTTGGAGATTACCATTGCAGGGGCTCAAATCCAATCTGATGTCTTTATAAGAAGTTTGGACATAAAAAGAGACACCAGGGATATGTGCAGAGTAAAGAGCATGAGAGGCGCCAGTGCAAAGTGGCCATTTGTAAGCCAGGGAAAGAGGCCTCGGGAGACACACGATCAGACACCTTGATCTTTAACTTCTAATCTCCAGAACTGTGGGAATAAGTTTCTACCCAGTCTGTGGCATTTTGTATAGCAACCTTAGCAAAGTAATCCAGTGATTTGTGGAGAGGGAGAGCTAAACTTTTAAAAAGCCCTCTTCATTTCTGTCAGTTAAAAGTACTGACCAGGCTTGGTGGCTCATGCCTATAATCCTAGAACTTGGAGAGGCTGAGACTGGAGTTTGAGACTAGCCAGAACAAGAGTGAGAACTTTGTCTCTACTAAAAATAGAAAAAATTAGCTGGGCATGGTGGCACATGCTCATAGTTTCTGCTACTCAGGAGGGATCCCAGGAGTTGGAAGTTATAGTGAGCTGGAGTGGCACCCCTGCACCCTAGCCCAGGGGACAGAGCAATACCCTGTCACAAGAAAAAATTAAAAACTTGGCTTGGCACCTGGGGCTCAAGTGGCTTAAGGCGCCAGCCACATACACCTAAGGTAGCGGGTTCTAATCCAGCCCGAGCCCGCCAAAAC